TCCTGGGGAATGAGGTGGGGTGGGGTGGGGGAAGGAGCAGGGTGGGGGGAGTCATGTGCGGTAAACATGGTGAGGTAAAGGCGAAGTGCGGTAAACGTGAGATGGGTGGATCGGCGGAAACGAGAGGGAGAGGAGTGGGGAGAAAGGCGGGCGAAAAGGCATGGGCTTGGGGGAGATAGCGACCCGGAGTCGCCAAAGGTGCCCTGAGAGGAAGGGGACATGGCGGAGAAGATGTTATGTAATGTAGGAACGTTTGTAGTAGGCCGTGATGAGTTGTGTGAAATCGACGGGGCGGTAGTGCATGTGGGCAGTGTTAGCGGACAGACAGGAGGACGCCATCCTGATGAAGGCGCTGTAAAATGACATATTTTCGTATGGTTTAGCATATGGGGAATGGCGGGTGGCGTAAAACAAGGAAAATTTTATCCAGTTATGAGGTGCCGGGGAAATGCTACACGTACCACATCGACCAGGAGCTTCGGGTCAGCTGAGCCTGGCAGTTTGCCCGTCACAGCCACTTCCAAAGTTGAGGAGCTGTTGAAGCAACCCATGAGGAATGCGCCGTGCGCCTCAGCTGCTAGGGTTCCACCAAGGCTGGAACCGAGAGGTGCTAGGCGCTCTGTGAGGTCGGCGCATATATCCAGCCGGGCGTCCTCCTCCTCGGCCGTCGGGGCTTCCATCTGTTGACATGCACGATGATTATGGAAAGGAGTTGAAATGGAACTGTGATGCATGAGGGGTTGCGTTTTAGCCTGATACCTGCGCTATCTTGTGCCATAAATCCTCCAGGGTTCCATTCAAGGAGGGAGAGGCTCCCTGCAGTTGCTTAATATACTCCTCCCAAGCCTGCCGAAGCAGGCTTTCCATATTACTCATGATGGTCAAAACTCGAGCTCACTTGCCTACGGTCAATGGCCATTGGAAGCAACAACTTGAAAGCAACATCCTATCCTGCCTATATATTAACAGACATCTACCCCATATTTACGTTGTAAAGTGGGCTCATTATTGCAAAAGCAACAATTTGGACTGGGAGCATCCTAGGCCGGTGCATGGCCAAATTTCAAAACCGTCGTACTAGTCACCTGTCACTTTGCCTGGCTTGTAACCCAATCTGGGAAATCCACAACCTGACAGAACGGGGCATTAGTATCAGCGTATGGGGCCCAGTATCCGTCAAGCTACTATTTTTGCGTCTGCTGAGTTTGTATCGGCGAACTTTAGTTCTGAAGTGAATCACTTGCCGATTGACCGCATAGCAACTTGCAATACTGTAGTAAATAATCATGCAGATGTAGGGATCTTAACCTTAGGGTTCACACTTTTCGGAACCGCGCATAATGCCGCCGAAGCCCAAGGCGGACGTATTGGTACAGAAGTCTCCGGCGGAGTTTTTCGCGGAGAATAAGAATATCGCGGGGTTCGATAACGTGGGTTTGGTTGAGCGACCCGACGGGACAGTCTTCGGTTGACTTGACGAACTATTCAACACCACTCTTTCTGTGTGCAACTCGAATCCTTCCATATCTCCCACCACAACCTTGGATCACCGATCTTCTGAGGCTTTACACAGCTTGCGATGGTGTTTTGCTTACCAGCCTGGAAAGCTCTGGTGCAGAGCCTGTTTCTTTCTGTCCGCCCCGGCCTTTCATCTCACATCCTGTCGCACCGCAGTTTTCCGCACGAATTTGACATTCTCTCCCAATTCACGTTTGGCCATTGCAAAGCACGCATATATTAGCGCGCCGCGCCGTGGTCATGCACGCAGCCTGGCAAATGCCTGTACACTACCGTTCGCGAGCTGGTGGAGAATGCACTGGATGCCGCCGAGTCCATCAGTGAGCTCCCGTACATCGAAATTACGATGTGGGTCAGCAATACAGTGCAGCGCATGAGGGAAGAGAGGAGGGGGGAGAAAGTGATACGATGTTCTGACCAAAGACGACCAAGGCGGCAATCCGCAACTGCATAGTTGCGTGAAGTCGGATCTATGAACGGGCTGCATCCCCCATATCCAGGATTCCGCGTTGGGGTGGTAATGCTTGTTTTGCTCCGCACGAGAGGAGCTCCAGTGTGCGGTTGGTACGTTGCTAGGCGGTCAAGGCCCGACCCGGATCCACCTGCGTTTGATATCCAAAGCCCTTTCCCCGCAAACTGCAAATATACACGAAATCCCCCCACGAAGCCATACCCAACCCGGAAACTGATTCCACCCCCCTGCCCATGGGGTCTTCCCCATCCCACCCCCTACCGCATGGTGCACCCTGCCGGCGCCTCTTGTTCAGCGAGGAGGTGTCCAAGGCTCGACTGAACCGTATTCGGGGGGTGGAGGAACATGGCCGACTGGACGAGCAGCTTTATCAGGACTTTGAGAGCGAGGACGCGAAAAAGGTTTGTTTGTGTGACGCGGGAGAGGGAAATGGAGATGCATCAAGGGCCACGCCTTCCCACGCCTTCCACGGTCAGCCACATCCTGGTGAACACAACCTGGTTGCTTTCTCCCCCCCCCTCTCTCGGCCATGGAATACCGTGCGGTCCCTAGTCCCTGGTGGCCCCTCCTTCCTCATCCTTTGCGAACCCCTCCTCCTCTTTCTCCTCTCAACAGAAGCGATTAGCCAAGGAGGCCCGGGACAAGGAGCGCCTGCAGAAGCTCATTGAGAAGGTGGGTGGCTATGTGGCGGCAGGTGGGTGAGTGGGTTGTGGGGGATGGGGGAGGGTGTGCGAGGATGTCGAAGTCGGTGTCCCTTTCCTTTCCGTAGGTAGTTAGTACACCCACACGTTGGCGTGGGGCGCATAAGGCGGAGATTTTTACAACGGTTCATGCGGATCCATGTAGGGATTGCGATTCATTTTTGACTTGCTTGGGCCATTGTTTCTTGGAATGCACACGCACTGCCATACACGTAAATACATACATGCATACACGCACACGCCTACTACCTCAGCATGGGGAGGGCGCGGCCGCAGTGGAGGCCAAGAAGAAAGAGCTGGCGGCGGCGGGGGCGGCTGCCAAGCCGGGAGCTGGCATGCGGGGGAACCTGTTTTACAAGGTCACGGTCAAGGTGGGTGGTGCGCCGGGTGTTTGCCTGTGTTTGCCTGTCTGTCTGTGTGTCCGTCCGGCAGTCAGTGCAGTTCAGCAGCTATGAAGTGGGTGCTCTCTCCCCCCCTCGCGCTATACCCTTCACCTTCCGCCCATCATCTTCCCAATTAAGTGTCAGTGGCCGATTTCCCGGCGCTTTGTGTTTGCTCCGATTGGGGTCCGCTTTTCATTTCCCACTCCCAACTACCCAACCACCCACCAGACCTACCGACCCATCACCCACAACCCCCCTAATGTACGCTCTAAAACGGTCATGACACTCCATCAGTCCGTTGGAACCCCACTTCCATGTCTCTCCGCGGCGCTTTGTTCCTCCTCCCCCCCCTCCCCCCCTCCTCCCACCTGCTGCCACCCCACCCTCCCCCGGACCGCCCTACCCCCCGTGACCTCCTTAGGACAACGGCGCGGGTATGCCCCACCGGGACATCCCCAACATGCTCGGCCGGGTGCTGTCCGGCACCAAGTACGGCGTCAAGCAGACACGTGGCAAGTTCGGTCTGGGCGCCAAGATGGCGCTCATCTGGTCCAAGATGACCACCGGACTGCCCTTCGAGATCAGCAGCGCGAGGAAGGGCTGCGGGACCAGGAGCCACTACGTGCTGGACATTGACATTCACAGGCACGTACGTGCGTGTATTGTGCGTGCACACACTGTTATTCCTATATATGTGTTGGACGGGGAGGGGAGGCGTGGCGTCGGCGTGTATGTATGTATGTGTTTTGATTCCCCTGGGATCAACAGGGGAGGGTTTTTGCGCCTGTGGCGCGTCTTATATCCCCTTCCGTGAATACCGCGGTGCTCCACTATACTATATCCGTACATCCCGTACACCACACTATACTGTACTCCTGATTCACCAACCCTCTCATCCCAGGCAATTGGTGCCTTAGGACGTATGCAGCTGATTTTGCTGGACCTTGCACCATGACATTGCTCCCGGCTGCCCGTGGGTCCCTTCACCTCCGGTTTCTCACACCCATCCCACCGGGTCCCCCAAATATTATGTGTTACGTATATAATAGGAACGAGCCCAATGTGCATCTTGAAGAGCAGCTGCCCAACCCGGACCATTGGCATGGCTCGTGCCTCAGTCTCACCATTGAGGGGAATTGGCAGTACTACCGGTACGAGGGTGAGGAGGGGGCCCATGGGGAAGGGGCGAGGGGGGGGAAAGGAAGAAGAGGGGGGGGAAACGCAGGCAGGGGTGAAGCGTTGTGCTGGTGGATGGATGATGGCGTTGGGGTGGGATGGGGAATGCTTCCGCATATATGTGTGTATATATGTGTACGTGGGGAGTAATTATCGTCTGTCGGGGGATACGGGGAGCTAGTCGTCGGATTTTGGTGAGGGTGAGGATGGGGATGGGGATGGGGACAGGAGGAGGAAATGGATGGAATGGGGAGCGTGGGTTTAGGGCGGATGGGCGGTAGGGCGTGTGTGTACGGGGAAAAAGAAGGGATGGGTTATGCTTGACAGGTTTGCTACCTTGTCCTTCGTGCTATCTGGGGGCGCCGGCCGTTCCCTCAGCGCGCTGCGCACTTCCCCCCGTGGGGGACCCCCACCTCCCTCCTTAGCAGCTTCACTCGCTCGTGGTTCGTCTTTCCCCCCCACCCACCTCCCCCGCCTGTCCCAGGTCCAAAATCGTACGGTACCTGCGGCAGATCGCCGTTATCACGCCATACGCACATTTTTGCTTCTCGTACAAGGCGGAGGACGACAAGAACAGCATGCGGATCAACTTCAGGTGGGTGTGAGGAGGTGTGGAGTTAGGGCTCCTGTGGTGAGATGCTTTGGGGGTTTCCTATTTTTCCATTTTGGCGGGAGGGAGAGGGGGTGGGAGGGAGGGGGAAGGAGGGTGGGAGGGTGGTGGGTTGTCCGTTTGGGTGCTTCACCCGCGAATCCGCACCTGAGCGTACCGCACTTGTGGGTGATATCCCGCCCCCCTCCGTTAGCCTCTCCCTCCTTTTGGTCTGGTCATGCGGTGGTAGCTGCGGCGTGTGATCTTTCGCCCGCACTTTGACACCCCCGCTTCCCCACCCCCTCCTTTTCTTCTCCTCTCCCCCCACCAACACATACACACACACAGGCGGCGCACCGACGTGATGCCCCCTCCCCCCCGTGCCACCAAGCACCACCCTTCCTCCGTGGACTTGGAGCTGGTGAAGCGGCTGATTGCCGCCACGGACACCAAGACACTGACCAGCTTCCTCAAGAAGGAGTTCGACTGCGTGAGGCCGGCACTGGCAGGTGCGGTTGGGGGTTGGGGGTTGAGGGTGGGTCGTGTAGTACCATGAATGTGTGTGCGGGGAAGTTGCAGGGCGAAGAAGAAGGAGTTGAGCAATACAATGGCTGGAATGGATACAGGGGGGGGGGGCAGGAAATGATACAGTGTGGCAGGGCGTCCTGGGGGTATCGGACACGACCTCATCCCTCCTGAAGTGCACATATACACACACATATACACCAGTACACATTCACAAACATACCTCTGTGCGCGCCGTTCTTCCCTCCGTTATTGACTGGCTAGTTTCTCCCCGGGGGGGCCCGCCATTTCCACTGCTGTGATGATCATGGTCGTGATGAACTTCTTCGCCCTCATGCGATTGTATGGCACTTCCGCCACTTTCCCCCCCCTGCAGCAGCCCGGGTATTCATCTAACCGCCGGCGGCTGTGACCCCCCCTTGTACTTCTGTATGTCTGTCTGTATGGCGGCCTTCCACAGAGCGGCTGGCGGGGGAGATGCAGGCGGGGGTGGAGGGTGACACGAACCCGAAACACCTGACAGACAAGCAGGTGGTTCGTCTTCACCAGCTGCTTCACGAAGTTCGTTTCGATGACCCCAAGGGGGACCACCTAAGTCCCGCGGGTAAGAGGGGTAGTTGGGGAGTTAGTTATGTGGTTGGTTAAAAGTTCGTTGTGGATTTGGTTGGTAGTTGGCTCGGGAAAGCGAAAGGCGATGTGCGTGTGAGAGTAGGCAGGTGGCGCGGATGGGGTTGTTGCATGGTCACCTATCCTGCCTTTTATCCCGGCATCAATGGTTTACATTCTTACTATGACCGTATATAACAGTATACAACAGTACCCGACCTCCCCGCAAACCTGCGCTGCCTGCCGCCTCGTCCCTTTCTCTCCCTCCCTTCCCCACCCACACAATCCAGCAGTTTGGTATTTTGCAGATCCGCAGTCAATTTGTTGCTCTTTGCATATGAATATCCCCATTCCCTTACCCCTGTTCACCTCCTACTATCCGTCTATCTCTGGTATCTGCTCCATTCGCCAGTGGTTCCTCTTACCCCCCTACTCCTCTTACCCTCACCCCACCCCCCAGGCGAGTACAACCTCCGTCTGGGGGTCATGAAGGAGCTCAACCCCGACATGATCGCCACCCATCAGGGGGATGTGCGGGTGTTTGAGGGACATGCCTTCATCGTGGAGGCGGCGGTCAGTGTGGGGGGCAGAGACATCAAGCCGGGTGAGTGGTAAATATGATGTGTGAAACAGGGGGGTGTATCTTCGCCCGTGGCAGCTACCCTGCGAAACCCTGCCTTCCCCGGTATTTCGGGGCACCCTCATCCAGTCACCCTAGTCAACTTCTCAGTGGATCGCTCAGGTTCCGCACCCACCACCAGCATCCAACGGAATCTGCCGGGTCGACAGCGGCCCAACTCCGTTCCTGGTCGGCTCGCAGGTTAACTTTATCCCAGGTCACCACCGTCCATCAACTAGGGGCGCAATGCCTTCCACCATCGGAAGGACTTTTGACCCTAACGGGTCTCAATCCCGGGATCTCCCGGAGGCAATGGTCGCGCCTTACCAGTAGTGCCAAACCCTATATAGATGTATATGGTAAATATGTATGTATGTACTTCTAACTGCGGTATTCCAGAGGCGCAAGTTTGTCCCTTCTTGAATTTTGAAATGTGTGGAACGCCCGGTGAAGGAAGCGGTCTTCCGCTGCAGGCATTAACGTGCACCGTTTCGCCAACCGAATTCCGTTACTGTTTGAGGGCGGCTCTGACGTCATCACCAAAACCGCCCTCAAAAGAATCAACTGGGCGAGCTACAAAATAAACCAGTCCACGGACAAGGTGAGGCGGCGGGATACCGGATACGGGGACGAGGGGGTTCTGTATCCACTTTAAACCAACTTGTGCCGCGTGGGCGAGTGGGACGTGGCCGTGACGGTGCGTATGTATATGTATGTTCATGCTAATATTTTGGGACAATTAGGGGTGTTGGTGTGTAGAATGGAAGGCACAGCTTCTCATGCGTGTGGGTCGTGCATGTGAAAACTGAACCGTGAAGAGGTAGTGGCGGTGATGACACACGAGTGTATGCTCGTATGTGCGTATGTGTGACTGGATCTGCGTGTCTCCCCCCAACGATTACCCCCGGGGACCTGGACCCGTCACACCTCTCCTTCTACCTCTACCTCTTTCTATGGGCCCGTTTCCCTCCTTCCCTTCGCGGCTTTGGACGTCGGCAGCTGGTCATGGCTTTCGTATCATATGCTTCCCCGGGCCCCCTTCCTTCCCGCCACCCGCCAGGTGGGTGTGTTTGTGAGCATCGTGAGCACCAAGATCCCCTTCAAGGGCGCCGGGAAGGAGTACATCGGGGACGACGTGGAGGAGATGGTGGCGGCAGTTAAGGCGGCAATCCAGGTGGGCGGTTGGAGGTTGGTGGTTGTGCACTCCCAATTAGTAGTCGCGTTCCAGTGATGACGTGTCAAAGGAGTGGTAGAGTGTTAGGAAATTTGCAGGGGAGGGAGGAGACCAGGGGTATAAGCACAACAGGATCGCGCAGGATCGGAACGTTCAGCTCCCATCTATCGATCTGGGCCCCCTGTCGTCGTGTGGGGAAACAGATGGACAGAAGGAAGCTGAACGTTCGTGGTTCGTCTTCGCCCCTCTCCTCCCTCCTTCCCCGGCCCAACCACTGACCAATGTGGTATGCAACTCATTTTAACAAGGGCGGCGTTTAATTTGGTTTCTTCCGGCCAATAAAAATCAAGGTTACAACAGCCTCAAATCGCTTGCAACCCGCCTCAAACAGGCGTGTTGTGTGCAGCTCAAGGCTAAGATCGTCCGCGCCATCGCCGCCCGGGAACAGAAGCAGCGCAAACGCAACCTCACGAAGTACATCCCCGACGTCGCGAACGCGGTTTACGCGGTGCTGGAAAGGATGGCGCAGCATGCACAGGCCGCCGGGGGAGGCGGAGGTGCTGGCGGCGGTGGTGGTGGGCCGGCGGCGGCGGCGGCGGTGAAGAAGGAGGATGAGGAGAGAGAGGCGAAGCGGCGGCGTTTGGAGGTGGCGGATGAACGGCATCTGCTTCCCGCGGTTGTCAGCCATGAGCTGACTACTGCGACGCTGCAGGCCCGACTGACCGAATACGTGGAGCGGATCGACACAGACATGGTGAGAGGCTGGAGAGGGCGTGCACAGCAACATGGCGATGTCCGCGCGGCTATGCTTGTGCGTGTTAAAAGGAGGAGTGTTCGGCTAAGCCTATGTGCGCGCGCGCGTGTGTGTGTGTGTATGCGTGGCTATCCGCGTATGGATATGTGTAGCTGTCGCTAAGCCTGGCGAAGCCCTAGCTTCTCCTTTCACCTCACCCGGAAACTGGGGAAAAAACCCTCCTTTGAAAGGTAACCCAAATCGCTCCCCTGTCAACAGGCGCTCGAGTACCAGGTACAGCAAGGCCTAGCGGCGGGCGTAGCTAAGGTGCGAGTGCGGTGCGGAAGAGGGGAGAAAGAAGCGGCTCAACGTGGTATGAGGGGAGAAGCCCTTGTGGTTCTAGCCTTGAGTGTATATGTATACGTTTCCAGCTCACACGGGATTCGTGTTGTTGATAGCTCGTAATTGTGCTGCTGGGAGAAGAAGGGTAAGGGTGTTCTTGTGAGCCAGGCTCGGGTTGGGTATTGGGTAAGGCGTACGGTCGGCGGGGGATGGATGTTGGGGAGCGAGCTCCATCTCTTTGCCGGCTGCTGATGCGGCCGGGTTTTATGGCCTGTCCGCCTTTAATCCTCAACCCACTCCCCGCTTTGTGCCGCAGTGGCGTAATGCAGACGCGTTGCGCGGTGTCTCTATTTTTACCTTTCTTCTCCCGTACTCCCTTTGGTGATATGGGTATCCACTACTGCGGGCGGCTTCCTGGCATTTTACGTGATTTAGCGTTCTGAAACGTGGGTCCTTCCCCCATCTCTGACTTCCCTTGCTCTTCTTCCCATGCTGCTGCTGCTGCTGCTGCTGCTACACTGCAGGAGCCGCTGTACCTGATGCCCCTCAGCAGCCGCCACAGCCACGGTCCTGAGCTCCACGCAAACATCGTCGTCATGAAGTTGCTGACGGGCTACACGTGAAGACCACGATGATGAATGAAGCCTTTTCCTTGAAGATGAGATAATGATTGAAGACTTTACACGTTAACGATGCTGACATGAAAGCGATGAGGTTGAGGAGGGATGGAAGGAAGGGAAAAGGCAATTGGGTGATTTTCCCGTGGACGCCTGATGGCAAGTTGCCTGCTTATCTGTCCGTCTGGCCTTCTGCCAGGTAAGACTAACAGACACCGTCTGTGATTCCCCGGTACCATGCAGGCATGCATAGCCGGGTCGGCGCATACTTTTTGTGCGAGTGCACGCATGTATTTAGATAGTGGCTAAGATTCGGTCCGACGGAATTCGTAATGACGCGCCCTTCAAAGGTTGGTGCGGCACAGATATGCACATGCGGCCCACATGCAGGCGGCGAGTCAGCTGCGCAGCTGCATGCCACAACAGGGACGCCGCGTGATGGAGTGCGTCATTGCGCCGATGGACACCGCAAACAGACAGGATTGTTGCGCCAGCTCGCGCTGTGAAAGGACACGGACGAATAGTCGGTCTTGCGTCAGTTCTTAAGGCTGTGTTTGCGACCGCTGACTACTGATTGGGGCATTCCAAGCCTTACGTTGTCCTGACTTTTCTTGTGCTTTTTACACCTTGCCATGGGTAGGCCCGCCTGCCCTTAGAGCGCCTTTGCCTTTGTAAGTTCCGCAAGCAATTTTCCCTTGAGAGCATATCGGCCGATATGGCTGTGCCGCTCACCGTAGACACGCAGAACAGTTTAGGAAGGCCCAGGAAGGAACCGCGTCAACATGCCGGACCAAGCCGCCATGGCTGTACTGCGCACTAACCTGTCAGCCCCAGCGGTTTGCGTAGTTTATCAACTGGAAATTGTTAATGTATTAGCATAGACGTAATTATGATAAACGGCTTGTTAGAAAGGCCTTCCCAAGAGAATGAATTTCATCGATAAATCCGAATCATACCCCAAGACGTTCCCGCAGACCCAACTCCAATGCAGGCCCAATTGGCTCGAATTCGCATGAATCAACCCTGATTCGTCTACATGAGGATACGTCCTTACTCATGAAGAGTGATCGAGATTGAAATAGATGTTGGCGAGACCATAGGGCTTAGGCAGAGTGCAAATGTGCTGCGTAGCATCCAAAAACGTTAATCCTGTCTACGCGCTGTTAAACCCAAATCGAATACTTTTGCATAGCTGCCCTGCAGACTCGTTTAGCGGTCTACAGGGAAATAGTTATCGATCTCGAGTTTGGAGCGATCCAACTACAAAGATAATTCTACAAGTGCTATGAAGGGAGACGAGATGAGAATGTATGTGCATGAGGTACCGCGTCCAAAAGTCAAGTTTTCACTAGTCAGGAGGGTAGGAGATGGGCTCGAATTGGGGAAGACCTCTGTCGCAGAATTGGCCTGGATTTTATTCCTGACAAAAAATTGCAGCCCCAAGGATTGCTCTCCCCGACCTTGTGTCCTACCCTCCTACTAGTCCGCCGGGTAAGATACCGGGCAAGTGCTGCCCATGGAATAAACATTGTTCACTTAAATCTTTCTATGTTTTGTTATTAGTATCGCTCAATATATTTGCTTTCTGTAATCAAGAGGCAGAAGAAGCGAGACGGTTTTCGGGCATCCTGCCTAATTGCTAACTTTTGAATGACTCTTGCTTGTCCAGATGCATGGACGCACAACACATGGATTGGTCAAGCTTTCGTGTCGGTGGCAGCTTCCTGCGAGGCAAGCGCAGAAATGAGTCACCAGCCGGCGAGTTTCACGGGAAGCTATGGCCAGTAAAACATCCATGAAATCACGGTAAGAGTTTGTAGGGTTTTGATGAGACCTAAGCCACATTCTGCAGCTGCTAGGTTCCGATAGCCGTAGCTGCAGCCCAGTAGTGCACCTGAAGGTTGCAAGGTCTGCAGCAGCCCGAATGAAAAGAAAAATATTTTCATTTCATGTTATGACAGGAGTGTGTCGTCCTTCACGGCTTCAGCAAGTGTCGTCCGTTGAACATCCATGTCAGCGATGTACGCCACGCAAACAGGTACGCCTTGGACTTTCAGTTGAGGAGCTTGATGCTATTATCGCTTTCATGTGCGTATGCGTGAATTCTTTCCATCTTGCTTGGAACTTGGTCCCCGAGCCAAGACAATTGCAGAAAGCTCAGTATCACGACCAACCCAGCTTGCTATGGAATGTCGACATGCACTAAATTTCTTGCCACTATTTGGCACGCACCTTGCTCCGCCGTGCCTGACTAGCGACTTACGCTGTGTGCTCCCTGGTCCTTTCCCTTCTTCTAGGCATCGCTAGTGCTGTTGAACATGAGGGCGCGTTGGTCGTCGCCTCTGTTGCTGGTCGTCGCCACTGATGCGACTGACCGACTGGCTGCGGCTAAGCGGCTCCTGCTTCGACGTATACCAGGCGCGCACGGCGCCTGTATCGACGGCCCCTATCAACGAAGTCAAGTACGAGCGCTGCTAGGCCATCAGCGGAGACTCGTTGTAAGTATTCGTGTCCGACATATTGGTTTAATTACCTCGGCTAGCGAGGCTGGGAATGAGGGGACCGGGATGAGGAGCTGGTGGATATGAGCACATACATGCATCAGCATGTCCGCATTCGCATGTAGGCATTCGCATCTAGGCATGCGAGGCTTCAGGCGCACACGGCGCCTGCTTCGACGGCAACAAGGCGCACACGGCGCCTGGTTCGACGGCTGCAAGGCGGGAAAGCCCTTGGTGAGGGGCGTGAAGGGAAGGCCCGTGCGAATGTAATAAGATGAAATTATATTATCGAAGACCCGAAGGTGCTATAATTGTTATATATTTGTACTTTAAGCGAAAACCCTTGACGTTTTAGTGGCGTCGTTCTATGAATGGCTGAACGACTGTCGTGCTGAGAGCGGGGTGTTAAAAGGAAAGCCCTTGGTGCGAGCGTGAAGGAAAAGGCCCTTGCTGCGAGGCGTGAAGGGAAGCCCTTTTGGTGCGGGGCTTGAAGGATGAGCCCTTGATGATGGATGCGGCGGGAAAGGTCTTGATGCAGCCCATGTTTGTCGGTGCCTGTGTCTGGGCGCGCACCCATCGTACGACATGGGGGCCCCCAGTCCACCCCATGGGGCCTTCAGTGGTCCCGCATTGATCGAGGTATGATGTTCCGGTATTGCTCAACATGCCACCACCACTTGCGACCCCCCCCCCGGCCCCGCCTTGCACATCACCCACCTCGTATGCTTCAGCGAGCTCCTCATCCTGCACAGCACCGGCCGACCTGCACACCGGCACACGCTTGGCCGTGTCCTCCACCTTCTGAATGCACACTCAAGCCAGGGTTGGCCACGGGCCATGAACAGCAATAGCAACATGACAGCAACCGCGGTGGTCACCCCCGCTAGCGCCGTTGTGACTGCTCCCTCCCAGTACAAAACTCTCAGGACAAGATACGGAGCCTTGAGGCTCTAAAAGCTGGGCATAGGAGCAGCGACAGTACGCCGCAACTTACTACGTTGCTACCGTGGCGGCAAAGCCTTTGTCACGCTCCTCTGTCCAGACGAGCAGCTGCAGGCAGAACTCCTTCCGCAGGTCTACAGTCTGCGGATCCACGAAGGGAAAGTCCGGGGTGTCACGTGCAGAAATGCAACTGTCACCGCAGGGGTAGAGGAAACATCAGTCCATGGTGGGAACCAGGTTGTGGAGATGCCTTTTCAAGAAGCTCGTTGTGGTCCCCTTGCTGCCCATGTTTGGCGGGCAGCATGATGGCGCAGTACCGAACTGGCTATGCAGGGTGGGCTCCAAGACCAACTGTGCAGGGAAGTATGATATGAAAATGGAGTGCTTCCTCGGGCCTATAGCATCAACATCGTGGAGCCCAAGGCTGTCTGTAACCTGCCTACCAAGCCAAGCAAATTAGACTCCTCAGGAATTGAGACTCGGCATCGGGAGGCTTGGCATGGGTGGCATGCTTCTTGCCTGCAACCACATGGGCTTGTCACGGCATGGGTAGCACGTCATATGGCGTGACAGGCTTGTGGTGCGGGTGCCAGCAGCTGCTTAATAGCATACACATCCTTGACGTGGTGGAGAAGATGCGATGTGAACTGACGATCAGGAATTCAGCCCCGTTTGTAGAACTCCATGTTCTGGATGGGATGTCGGGGAAGCGAGCGCAAGGGGGACCGCATGGAGCTGCCTACAGTATAGGATGGAGCCCTTCGGTTAGGGCGGCACACAGCCTTCGACTGACACGATCCTTCTAGGGGCCATCGCAGTGGACCTACCCAGGGCAATGTGTCCCCATGGGTTGGGGAGCGGCATTTAGCAAGTTTAGTGGCTCATGCGCGTGCGTGTGTGCGTGTGTGTGCGTGTGTGCGTGCTTGGGAGGGGCGCTGCTGTGCTGGGGTCTTGGTAGGCAGATATTGGCACGTATGGATGCACAGACTCCGACAACAAAAGGGGACGGTCTTCTGTCTACCTTAAAGCTAAAACGCCGTATAGGGTAACGGTAGGTGACAGC